AAAAAAAAAAAAAACGACAGCTCAGCAGCGCAGCATCGCAGCATGCAACCCATGCAGCTGCCTCGTGCATGCATTCGAAAGCGACGACGCTCTCTGTGCATTTGTGCCGCCCTTGAAGGATGTTTCCGTTTGGAAGCTTTTTCGGCGCTTTTTCCTTCCAGCACTGCGCCAGTCTGTTTTTCTCCCCAGACGGGGGGTTTCAGGAAGATCCGCGCATAGACTCAAAACAAGGGTGCAGCTCCCGACTCGCAACCCACTCGCAACACACGCGTGCTTGGCCATCCCAACGCACGCGCTAAGTTAGTTACTGCTCGTCCACACCACCAGCAGAGTGGAATTCAAAAGCCAGGCGCCCACACTCCCCACTCACTGTCGTGCATGCCGTGTCCGGTGCATCCTTGGTCCTCGCGCTCCCGTTGCCGTTGCTACCAACAACGCACCCTCAACGGCGTTCGCTAGTTGCAGGCAAAGCGCTTCGCCACCAAGATCGAGCATCCGAGGCGCATGCGTCCATGCAGTCGTGCAGCCGTGCATGCATCCAAGCGTCTTGGTCTTTTTTTTTTTTGCAGTGCAGTGCTGTTCTGTGTATTTTGTGACCCCTATTTCGCTGCCCGCATTTCGGCTCGACTTTGCACCCTCCAACGTTGCGCATTTCTCGGGGCGGTACCGTAAACTTTGGCCTCGCTTCGGCCCCTCGCCGATCATGATTGGCGTGGCAAAGCATGATGGACCCCCAGAATCTCGCACTCTCTACAGAATTTTAGCCGGCCGCTGCACACCCATGCCTTGACAACGGATCGGAAGGATCTCACGTGGCCATCGCATCGTCCGACAGATCGGGCACAACATTCAAACAGTGGTATTGGCTGCGGCTGATTGAACTACTCGAGCTCGCCTTCGTCCTCGTCCTCAACTTCCGCCTCGTCCTCGTCATCTTCGATGCTGACATCTTCATCGTCCTCGTCCGCCTCATCGTCATCCTCGTCCTCCCCATCGAGCAACGCCTCGAGGTCCTCCAGATCGAGTCCCTGGGCCTGCGCATCCTTGAGCGCACGTTCGAGCGCCTTGAGCTCGTCGTCCTCGGCCTGCTCGTCCACCTCGTCGCTCTCCTCAGCCTCGTCATCATCGCTACCGATCACCTCCTCCTCTGCCTCTTCTTCCTCGGCGTCTGCGCTCGCACCGCCCGCAACACCGACGGCGGTCAGGCACGTCAGACGAGTGCCCTTGGTGTCGTACTCGGCCACTCTTTCCACCGACACCACCTCGCCCGCGTACGCCTCCAGTGGTCGCCTGTCCCCACTGAGCTTGTTGACGATCGAGCTGAGGTCGAATGTGCGGATGAAGCCGTCGGACGAGATCGTCACCGCCACGTACGAACGCGCGCCCTCGCTCACCTTGACCGGAAGAACGGCGATCGATCGAACGCGGTTTTTGTGTCCCACCAGTCGGCCCACCTCCACCAGTGGCGCCAACTCCTCCTCCTCCTCTTCGCCATCATCGCTCTCCTCGGCATCGCTGTCGGCCTCCTTGGCAGCCTTGGCCTCCTTCGCCGGCTGCTCCACCTGGGCGTCCAGATCGAACACCTTGACAATGCCATCCTCGAGTCCGGCCAGCAAGAGCTCGTGCTCCTTTCCGTCTTCGTCCTTAACACGCAAGAAGCACAGATCGCCAATGCGACGCGTCTCCTCGAGTTCAGCGATCTTGGTCATGTCCGTTCCAAAGATCATGGCCTGGCGGTAGGCGAGCACTGCGAACCTCGCGCCCGTTGTGTCCCATCTTACCACGTCCGCCTCGATGCCGATGCGCGTCGATGCGGCCGCCTGCCCACGCATGAGGTCCCACATTCGAATCGTTCGGTCCGAGCCCACACTCAGCGCCAGTCGTCCCGTCGGATGCGGTGCCGCGCTGTTGATGCGTCCAATGTGGCCCTTGAGCGTACGCAGCAGTGCCCAGTCGCGCGTGCGGTACAGGTTGATATTCGAGTCGGCACTCGTCGTGAGCAGATAGGTGCGCGAGGCGAACACCAGCGATGTGATCGTTCCCTCGTGTCCCGTGAGCTGACCCACTTCGCGCTGCTTGCGCAGATCCCACACCTTGACCACCTCATCCGTACCTCCCGTCGCCAGCCACTTGGAATCCGCTCCCGCAGTAGCCACGGTTCGAATCGAAGAAATGTGCGCCGGGAACGTGAAAATCGGCTTGAGCGATACCCTGAACGGTGCAGCCGCCGACGCCGACGAAGACGCATCAGCAGGTCCAACCGTCGCCTCCAGACCGTACAGCAGGCGCTCATACGATCCCGCTACGATCTTGAACGTCGATGTAGGCTGCGGAGGCTTGATCAGGATGCTTGCAGGTGGCGAGGTGCCGTTGGACGCCTTGCCCTTGGTCGGCTTCTGCTTGGCGCGCAGCTTCTTCTCCGCGGCCTCTTCGGCACGACGGGCCGCATCGGCTTCCGACTTCTCCTTGGCAGCTGCTGCCTTCTTGGCCTGGATGAACTCGTGCTTCGTCTTGGGCTTGGGCTGGTCCTTGGGGCGTGTGCGCTGCGGTACCGCCTTCTTGACCGGCTTGGGCGAGTCCTGCGAATCCGATCGCTGCTTCTTGGCCGACTTGCGGTACACCGTGGCCGATCCACCACCGCGCTTGCTCGGTCCTCCAGCGTCGTTGCTACGTGTACGCTTCTGTCCTGCCATCGCCGCAAAACTAGTTCAGGTCGAGTTTATGGTCAGAGTACAAGAAGCAGCTTCGGCGAGAAGACTGAGAGTTGGTTGGCTTTTCCTT